GTGTTAAGTCATATTCAATTAATACATATTTACCCTTAACAAAATGTATTAAATGTAAATGTAGAAACAGACACACACACACATGCACATACATACAATGAAAAACTGCATATGTGTACTATTATAGAACCCTAAAAAGATAGTATTTTAATATTTCAGAGCAGTTGATTTACATGTGCAAATGCATTATGTACCAAAAAAACCTCAGTCTTTGCGCAAATTTGAGGTTGCTTTGGAAATTTTGGCCCTTTATGTAAATACTGTATGGAAAATTTAATTTCAGTATATTTATATTCTGCAACATATTTATATTTTGTCATATAAATATTTTCTGGGCATTCTACCAAACCCACAGTTCCTTTATAGAGGTTCAGGATACCTTTCCAGTGATAGGAATATCTTGCCCAAAATTATAGTGAACATTTTTTATGCAATAGCATTGATGTCCTGTATTTCACTTAAGCTGAGTTTTACTATGCATTATCTTATGTTGCTTTGTTGTGAATGGTGCCATTGACTGGACAGCAGCATATCTTCTGTTTATCTATGGTAGTAAAATGCCTATCATAACCCATTCATGAAGATCTATTAGAGAATAAGGATGTGAGTAAAGAAATAATCCAAATTACATGAAGAGAGATGAAATGGTAGGATAGCAGCTGGAAAAGCTAGAAGAGAATGTTCAGAGGATTTCCTGGAAAGATATGAGATCACTTCATTATCCCAGAGAACATAACGAATGGGATACATTATTCATTCTCAAATGTACTTGATTTAGAAAGATTACTTTGCACAGTGGGGTCATTCCCAATAATGGGAAACTGTAGAACAAGAAATCATCCACAGACTGGCCTGGGTTAAGTATGGTCTAAACTGAAACCATGGATTCTTATCCCATTACCTGGATTAGCTTTTATAACCCCTTCATCTTTCAGTGGGTTAACTGCTTTATTTTTCTCTCTTCAACCCACTTAGCCCAGCAGTGCTCCCTTTTTTTCCCTCCCCTTTCCC